GACCGTTCATGGAGGGGCCGGGCCAATTCGCTTGGAGTCGCACTGGTCTAGAGGCACACAAGGTGCCTCTCTGAGAGTCTGCGCGTGGCTCTCTGAATTGAGTATTTATAAACTCCCATGGTGCCAAATAGAGCAAGAATATACCAAGACACGTCCCGACCATGAATAGAACGGTAAAGCATCTCACTTTCCCTTGGCCCTTTTGCAAATATGACTGGCTGAGTTCCTTAGAACTAGATATATTTTTGGCTATTTACCTCAAAGCTCATGGTTGCTGTTTTGTTGTTAGCATGGTTGAGAGCATTGCTAACTCACAGTGACCCCATGTGACAGAGCAAAACTGCCCCTGTAGGGTTTTCTAGGCTGTAATCGTTACAGGAAGAGATCACCAGCCCGACCCACCCGCTCTCTGGTGCCCCCACAAAGCTGCTGGGTGGGTTTGGGTTTGAACTGCCAATCTTTCGATTGGCAGCCAAGTGCTTAACCATTCACCACCCCCCACCCCCGCCCCCCAGACCTCCTTGTCTTAGTCACAACAGGAAGGTTCCACACTCTGCCCCCCACCTTGAGAGGAGAAAGGTGGAGGCTCTAGCTGACATTTACTCGCTTCAGCCCCAGTGCACTTTCTCTGGGCACAGCTCACCCTGAGCCAGCACCGTAAGGAAGCCACCTCAGATATTCACATGGGAGTCTTGGCCAAGAAACACAGGAAAAGCAAAAGGTTAGAATTTGAAGTCAGGCATTAAGTATGCCAGGAGATGAAGCGTAATTGCTCATTTCCCCCCACAAACAAATACATTTGTTTATGATTTCGAGTTTCTAAATACTCTGAAAAGCACATCATAAAGTACTTTTTACCTTAATGCTCCTTTTAAAATCCCTAATAACAACTTCATGTGCACCACAGAAACAGACCATGTAATTTATGCAGGAAAATTAAAACCAGTAATCGGGTATTCTGTGTAAAGAATTTTGTTATCCCCCCTCTGCATGTGCTTAATTTTTCTTTCTTTCTTTTTAAAGAGAAAAGCAATCCTCACGTGAACACAAAGCCTTTCAAGTGAATTCCTATCTCTGAAAATCAAGCTAAGAGACTTCCATAAAAGCAGCCATGTTCCTGTTTGGCCCTTTATTGATCAAAGACAGCAATCTGGGGCATCTTAAGAGTTACACAAGAAAGAAAACACTCAAATTAGCAGGGCTCTGCCCTAGAGGAAGTACGCATTAGTTAGTTAGTTAGTTAGTTAGTTTTATTTTCGCATGATAATTAACAGTGAAGTTGGGTAGGAATCTGCAGCAGGAGAAGTCCAGAATGAGCAGGCTTCCTAAGCTTTGCTGAGTTTGAGACATCTACACAGCGCAGTCTCGAGACAGGGAGACATTAGTGCTTTTTATATTGGTATGTAATCATCTGTAACATGAGCAATTAAGTATAGTACTAATGGACTATGGCCAGGAGCCTGGTACTAATATTAAAAACTGACAGAGATGAATAGGTTTGGAAGCAAAACCAGGCTGACAAAGACATTTTTATGAAGTGCACGGCCCTATTTGATTTAAGCCAGTCCGAGGTTAGTTTGGACACGTAGGGCCTTCAGTGACAATGATGCATTTATAGGCATTGTATCATTTCTGCTATGCCTTAAATAAAAACCCATTGATTCTTTTCAACAACCCACGCTTTCATTATTATACTCATTAATAAAACAAAAGTACCCAACGAATACACAAGTAACATGTACTGAGGAGCCGGCTACTTGTTTCTTGTTGTAAAATGAAAACATTTACTGGAATCGTGAACCACATTGCATGAAAAATGAATCAGTGGATAATGCACAGTAGATCACTCATTTCTTCTCCAGCTTCCAGAAAAGTCGTCTGGTGAAATAAGGATAGGAGCCAGCGACTCAAAGTATCAGGGTGAAAAGGGAGAGACCAGAAGAACCCCACAGGAGGGACTCCCCACCCCCCATTTATCACAATCTGGTTTGCAAGATTGGAAATCTTCCAAGGTTCCCAGGGATAATAATATATTGCTCAATCATATGTATATAATAATATTTCCAAGAGCATCCCAAGACTGTGTGTTTACCCACAACATTCTGACCCCTCTCAACAACTCGAATCTTTTGGTAAAGTGGGGGCCTTTCACCAATTTAGCCATTCCTGCTCTAACTGTATAGGGAAGGTCCGCCGTGAGCCATAATTGATGCAATGACAGTGAGTTTTTGTTTGTTTATCTTTAAATCACAAGAATGGATGGAATCCACCATCATCTCTACACCTCATTTTGACCAAGAGCTGCAGCTTCTTTTCTGACCAAAGAAGAACTGTTTCAACTCCCCAGCTAGATCTCCATAGTCCCTGGCCTGCTAGAACCAAGAACAGTAAGGCACCTGGGCAGCAGTTCCCAGATTTTTCTCCCCATCACAACATAGGCTGCTGTTAGTTCCCAAGCCAATGCCAACTCATAACGACCCCGAGCCTGCAGGGAAAAGTTACTCCGCAGAACTTTTAAGGCTGTGACATTTTGGAAGCAGACTGCCAGGCCTATCTTCTGAGGCACCCCTGCACAGATTCTAACCACTCACCTTTTGGCTAGTCGTGGAGTGCTAAGCACTTGCCCCACGCAGGGACTCCTAGCAAATCCATAGCATGAAAGATTATGGGTGAGTTCTCTACTGTCATGATTGGTTCCGATTAATGAGAGTGACAATATTAGAAATCAATTTATTAAAAAATATATAAACTGTCTGTAAGTTTTGGTATGCCATCAACTCCTAAGTATGTGTGATACATACACCTTTCACCTTATCACAACAACATGAAAGGGGACGAGGTGGCAAAAGAAAAAGAGAAAAGGTCAAAAGGGTTAAGTTCTTGCTAACCACTCTAAAACACCTGTGCTCAGGTGTGTTGGGGCTTTAGGCTCTGCAGAACCAGTGGGGTTGCAGCCACACGTATGCAAGAGCCTTCTTCTATGTCAGGGGCCCCAGGTGGGGCTCTAAATCTGCCCTTTTGTACTCTGCTTAGAGATGAAGTTTGAATGGGTCTTTGCGAATGACAGGTCTTATTTGTCATGTGTCTTCCTGTTGGGTTCCGTAAATTGGGAGGAGTAGAAGTCAGAGAGAAAGTAAAAGAGACCTGGCTCTTTCTGTATGTTGCCTGTTCATGTCCATGTCAACCCAGTCTTTAGCTTATTTCTACAATCCCAGACTGTCTCAATGCATTCCTTCAAAGGACTAATACCAGCAAGGGAGCATTACCTCCTTAGGTGAGCCCCAGAGCCGTAGAACTCCTTCTCTGAACTTCAGTGACACCGGTTCTAGTTGGGAGAGTCCCTTGTTTCCCATGAATCTCAGCCCCAGCTCTGCACTGCTCATGCTCCAAGTGTCTGAGCTGTGATACCCCAGCTGTCTCCCTCTATCTCTTAGCAGTTAGGACCATGCAGCTAATGTTGTACATGCAACATTTGCTTCACCAATCCCCTGTGTTGAATTCTCTTTGTTGAAATGCCTGGTGTGGATTCTTTTATCTTGACTGACCTCTGGGAGAGATACACTACATATAAATTCTGAATTTGGAAGAGGAAATGATGTAGCTCTTCAAAAAACCCCATCCAGTGTAGACCAAGCATTCTTGAAATAATGAGTAGAGAGGGAAAATTTTAAATGCTTCTTAGTTGCTGAAATTTGAGGTTTCTCTACTAGAATTTTACATTTTGATTGATTGAAAGCATATGGATTTCTGCCACTTCAAGAAGAGGTAAGCTATTAGAAAAAGTGTATAATCATAAAAATAATGTTTCATGGTATGTCCTTTAAGATTGGGGTCATTTTAATGTAGATACTTGCTTGAGTACATTAAACACAAGTAAGAAAATATCTTGTGAATACTTTGCAGTGATTTTTCTTGAGACACTAAACTCAACTCAATTCACTATGATTAGTCCAACAAATATATTCTATGTATTTATTGAATGGTCACATTCAATGCAGCTCAGAATTAAATGTAGTATAATAAAAACATAATCCAATGAAGGAAAAATATGACACAGAATCGATGAGTTCAATGGCAGTACAACAGGGAGCTAAATTTGCAAGGTAACCGGCTTATTTGCTGAGCCACCGGGCTGTGTCTTGGCGGCATTCTACCCGTGGCCATCATTCAAGCATGCAAAGACACACACATGCCTCACCGCTAGCTCTGCCCTCTGCTTCTACCTCTGCCCAGCTTTAATTAGAAAACCAGGAAGCTGAGTGAGTCAACCCTTTAGCAGGGATAAGGAAATGAGGACAACTTTTAAGTATCAACTTCACGACATAAGTAAGGATAATTCATCCATTTGCGAACTGGCCTTCAGTGGTGAGGATGTTAGAGTCCTAAGACAAAGAGAAAACAGCCCTGTGGATGCAATCTTCAAAGTCGGCTAGTTTGATTATATTTTGTTGGCAACATCATCATCTTTCCGAGAGAAGCTGAAATTGTTTGAAAAATTAAGCCACACAAAGCCTGGGCCAAGAGTACAGCCGTAGAAGTAAAATAGCAATATGGGGGCCGGGGGTGTGGGGTGGGGGGGACACGATTAAGACAAGTGAGGACAAGCCTCCTAGTATAAGAAATGTTGATCAGCTACACTGCAGATGTATAGTAACATTTCAGATCCGTTTTCTATAAAAAAGGTTCTCATATTAAATGAACCAATAGCGAACACGCTGAACAGCCTCTACTGCGTGGAGGAGGCCTGTTCACGCAGGTGATCATAGAATAAAACCAAGATAATAGAGCTCTAATTTTAGCTCTATAGCTAGACAATACCTCACCTTAAAAAAGAAAATCACAATGTAAAGTGCTGGAGAGAGATGGCTTCCCAAAGTCCTTTTGACTTCTTTTAATTTGTCCTTGACCAGGAGCTTCTTCCAATGGACACACTTGTCATTAAACAAGGCTCTCGCCTACCCCAAACCAATGAAACACGAACCCATAAACCCGGGTCTTACCTTTCATAATGTCTACGCGTACAAGTGGCGGCGCTGGTGCTCCCTGGATTACCGCCCAATTCATCATAAATATGTTTCCATTGGCGGCGAGCTGTTATCTGCAAAAAAACGGCAATGGGAAATTTCAATCTTGCATCATAAATAGACTCACTCACCCAGGCTTTGATACATATGCAACATTCGGGGGAGACCAGTTTGCTCTGCAAATCTAGAAATGGAGTAGCCTAAATGAGTGTATGGGGGGATTTAGGGGTTGAAAGTGAGATTGCACTTTCAGCCCTTTGCTTTACAATAAAGTCGACATTCGACTTGGCGCTATACGGTTACCCTTAGTCTGTTTTCATCTAAGGCAGCCCCCCTAGATGGCCACCTCGTCATTTCCCCCGAAGTGCCAAACTCAGAGCCTATGCCTCTAAGTCATGTGATAAAAGCTGCAGAATAACACCAGATTTGAGTTAAAATCTATCTTAGTTCATCAGTGTAAATGAATCTGAAGGAACACTGATTGCGGGTGGTGTGGGTGTGGGGTGGAATCCATGGCTGGGGTCGTAAATGAAGAGGGAAAGGTTTCACCAAACACACTTTTGTGTCTCCCGAGTTTTGAACCATAGGATGCACCACTTACTTTAAAAAGAAAGAAATACAACAATGATAAAAATTAATTTAAAAGATCTAACTGGTGGTGGAATGTACAGTCGTCTCAGGCTGTACTGTTATGCCAGCTCCTTTAACCACAAAACTAAAATTAGAGTCAGAATGTTGTATGTCACAAGCTGTTTATTTTTATTCATTTAGGTCAGACAAAATGGGATATTGATCAAATCCTATGAAAATGAAAACATTCCAGAGCTAAAATGCAAACGATGCATATTATTGAGTGGGGTGAGGAAAACAAACAGCTTGTAATATACTGAACTGCACATCGTGATCTGGTGGGCTTGTGTATTTTTTCCCTTTCCTCCGTTAATTTTATTTTGGTATATCAATTAAGATTCCACAAAATAACAGATGCAAGATCTGGCAAATGGTTCACTTGGGGAAACCACTAGACTCAAGCACGTCTAGTGTTTCCTTGAAACTAGGGAGCCAAAACAAGGGTTGGGGTCCTTATGGGCATTTCTCAACAAGAGGTACAGGAAAATGCTGCCCCTAGAAGGTGCAGGAGAAGGGGTAAGACGAAGGTGCCTGTGGTATATTTAACACAACCAGGGCAGGAGGTGTCTTTGGAAAAAAAATACCCACAAAGCTGCCAGGGTAGTTCACCAAAAAACTAAAGGCAACAATCAGAAAAAATAACTAAATAAAACCCATAACCCTTCAACTTGCAACCCAAGCTCTGGAACTGTAATGTGAGGAGGAAGAGGAGATGGGTAGTTAAATGGTACAGGTCAAATGGCACCTCTCCCATTAGAAGTAAAAATAATGCTTTTATTTCCATACACCGTTTTCAACAGGTCCAAGGAGAACCTCCAGACAGGGCTATTTTTGCATTGTTCGGTTCCCCAGGAAGCATCCTTGACCCAGTTTGCTTCGATGTTTCTCACCAGCAAGAGCGACCTCTTCTACTAGCAGGTTTAAGCGAAAAGAAAATCCTCCGGTGGTTATAGTTCAGTTAAGATTTTAATAAGTGGCTTCAAATCCCTTTCAATTCAACTCAAAACACGTATTTTGATCGTTAGTTTCTATATAATTACCATCTTCCTCCTGTCTTCTGACAAGATCCCCGGTTTATCTGTTCAAGAGACCTGGGCATCAGGGAAGAAGACAGAGGATCTCACCCAAGCTATTCCTCAAAACCCTCAGAATGATGACAACCACCACCACCACCACCACCTGGGTATTGTTACGTCAACTCTAACTCATGGTGACCCCGTCTGGTGACCCCTGGTGTGTCAGAGCAGAACTGTGCTCCACGCGGTTTTCACTACCTGTTTCTGCTTTTGTTTGGAAGAGGAGCACCAAGCTTTCCTTCCACGGCGCCTCTGAGGTTTCCTTAAACCTCCAACCTTGCAGTTAGCAGCCAAGCAGGTGGACCATTTGCACGACCCAGGGTCACTCTCAACAAAGCTTGCCGTCATTATAGTCACCCTATAGAACAGTGGTTCTCAACCTTCCTAATGCCGCGACCCTTTAACATAATTCCTCATGTTGTGGTGACCCCCCCAACCATAAAATTATTTTTGTTGCTACTTCATCACTGTCATTTTGCTACTGTTATGAATTGGGCGACCCCTGTGAAAGGGTCGTTCGACCCCCAAAGGGCTCGTGACCCACAGGTTGAGAACCGCTGCTATAGAACGAAGAACTCCCCCAGTGGGTTCTGGAGGCTATACAACCTTTACAGGAGTAGAAAGCCTCCCCTTCCTCCTGAAGAGCAACTGGTGGTTTCAAACTACAGACTGCAACGAGCCATCCAGCACGTAACCCACTACACCACCAGGGCTCTTTGCAAGAACAGAAGGTGCCTTGACACGCACCTCCGTACTCCCCTCGCCTAAACGAGGTGTACGGACCCTGGGCAGCCCAGCAGAGCTAGCAAACAGCCTATCTATGTTTCTTTTTTTCATGTAATCACTCTTGTCATCTTATGCATACCATATTTTAATATTTTATGAAGTATGTTCACTCCTGTGATTGCACCTAACCTCCGCACCAACCTATTAAAAGGTATGCTTTAGGATTCTCGTTGGTCCGTAAAAGAGGTGAGACTCAGATGTTGTGTGACTTGCCCAAAGACACATAATGGCATGGTAGCAGAGCCATGATGTAGCAATGCCTTGTGGCCACGGGAACAGGTCGCCGTTCCACACCCCTCCTCACCTCCCGAGCCCCATGGTATCAGAGCACTCCTCATGTCAGAAAGATGTAGTAAGGTCTGTAATTCCAGGGCTTTTTCTTCCAAGGAGGCAGTAACTGTGAAGCAGCTTCTGCTACAAGTTGTCAACTTTGAGTTCTAGGGCTTCCACCAGGAGGACCCTATCCTAAGGAAGAGAACATCCGGAGTGGAGGTGAGATGCATGACACTCACAGCCATTGAGTCAGGAGCAGAACTGCCCTGGTGGGCGTCCGAGATGGTGAATCTTTCCGGGAGCAGAAAGCCGCCTCTTGCTCCCCCAGAGCCGCTGGTGAGAACCTGCACTATCGACCTTGTGGTTAGCAGCCCCGAGACATGCTTTTCCCAAAGGCACCTGGTCCAACCACGGCTCCCCCACCCTGACCACCTGTGTTTTTAGTTAGAACACAGGTTTGGGTCTCTCTTCGATCCACCAGAGTCACTGATGAGTTCTAACGATCGGAACTCATCTGCTCACACAGCCATTCATTCACCAATCATCACCTTCAATTGGTTGGGACTGTGCTAGCCATTGGGGAACACAACGGGGAAACCCCACCCAACGCCCAAGAAGCCTGCATTCGGATGAGGGCAGTGAACCCATCTAGAAATGAAGTAAGTACCAACGGTGAAACATCTACTGAAGGAACAACGCCATTGCTGACGGAGTCCTTTCATTGGGTCAAAACTGACCCCGTTCTCCTCGGGCACCTGACCTCCCAGGCTAATCAATGCCGCGTTAAATACTTGCCGATCACAGAAACGACAGGGCTCCTTCAAGAACAAATCATGGGTTATCACAAGGAAAGAAGACCACCTCAGACGCGGGATGAGACCCCGACGGTGGGCAGCATCCAGCACCACTCAGTGGACACCAACAAGCCCTGGACAGTGTGGTAGGGGTCTGCCTGCCTCCTGATGGAGCTTCGGGTGTTGAAACACAATGTTTCGCAGTGTGGGCTCCTCTGGAAGGAACAAAGTGCTGGGCCTTTGATCGCTCTTGTTGACGGAACTTCCACGGCCTGGCCCAGAGGAACCAGGTCATTTTGAAAGCACTTTTTCTTTTTACAGGAAAGTCATAAAACAGGTTCTTCCCAATTTGCAAGGAAAGAACCCCTCTGGTAGTACATCTCTATTATTGTATTTTGATACACCTTTAATTCAAATGCTAATCACCCATGATAAGTGGAGGTTGGGGTAGGGGGGGAGCCTCCACCTTACAATTTCCCAAAGCTACAATGGGTCTCAGAGCCCAGTAAGGAGACAGGTAAGGGCCTTTGAGCTTCTCTTGGCCCATCTACTGTGTACCATTCCCCCATCCACACAAAACTGCCCTTTGTCTCCAGTGCGTCTTACCCAGTAGTCATTGAGTCCATTCCAACCCATGGTCGGTCCCTATGTGCGGAGTAGAATGGCTTTGTAGGGTCTTCTAAGGCTGCGACCTTTCAGAGGATTCGAACCCCTTTTTTCTGAGGGGTCTCTGGGTGCGTTAAATTGTCACCCTTTTGGGTAGTTGCACATTTAACCATTTGAACTACCAAGCTCCCCAAATAGCCATTAGTTCTTGTTACTGTGTGCTGTTGAATTGATTCCCATTCGTAGTGCACCAACAGGCTAGACTGCCTCTAAAGACTACCTTGTCATCTTTATGAGAGAGCAGATCACGGACAGGCCTTTTCTCCCTGGGAGCATTAGTGGGTTTCCACAGTCAACCTTCAGGGACTCCTCCCATCATGCCTGAAGAGTACCTACTTAGCTATTTGATGGCCGTGGTCAAGGATTTCATTTTCCTTGAATCCACAATCAATGCTCATGGAAGCAGCAGTCAAGAAGTCAGCTGTGAGCTATGCTATGCAAATCTGCCTAAGGCCTACTTAAAGCATTCCAGAGCTAGACTATCACTCTGAGGACTACACTGCCTCTGATCCACTAGATGGTATTGTCAATTGTCTCACGTGCATGGGAAATGGGAAAGGAAGACTGAAAAAGAACCAATCTATTTGAATTACGGGGGTGGTGAAGAATGTTGGAAGTGCCATGGACTGCCAGAAGAACCGAGAACTCGGTCTTGGAAGAAGTACAGCCAGAATGCTCCTTAGAAGTGAGGATGGTGAGACTTAATCTCACTTACTTAGGACATGTTATCAGGCGAGATCAGTCTCTGAAAAAGGACGTCATGCTTAATACAGTAGAGGGGCAGTGGGGAAAAAAGAAGCCCTTTGACAAGATAGACGGACAATCGCTGCAACAGTGGGCTCAAATGTA